ATTACTTTTCATTCAATTAAATAAAGTATAACGAGTTTCAATTATTTCTAAATGCATTGAAAAATTTCCCTCTATAATTAATGTACAAAATAAATAACTTAGTTTATGATAAAACCTATTTATTAAAGATGTTAAGCCATCATCAAAGCTAACATGGACGATGATAATGTAACGTTATAAAAATGTATAATTATGAACTATACTCGAAGCAAACGAGCTCACCACATCTTCTTTATTTCTCATACATCATTTTCACATAATTATCATTCTTGGAGGAAAAATGCTTTAAAGAGACTAACGATGCTTCTTTCAGAACGTGGAAATACTTTTTACACCACTATGTAGGTGTCTTTCATGAAGATAGTGAAATATCTCAGTCGTTTTTTTCATTTTCATCAATTTAGTTTTAAAGGACAAAGAATTTCGGGGAAAAAAAGTGAAATGAAATCCGGTAGAATGGTTGGTAAAAATGATTATATATTTTTCAATTACTCACACTGATACTTTAATTCTACGAATCTTCGTTAATATTATACTCGCTATTATAAATTATCCAACCAGAAGAAAACTGAAAAAGAAAAGGAAAATGGCAAGGAGAATTGAGCTTTCTCGAACCAGACCCGGAAGAGAAACGCTAGCCATTAACGACTGACTTATGGCGAAGTATGTGATAAATGTGATCCTCAATGTATAGTCGGTTCCCTAATGCAGCTTGGGAAGGATTTCACGTCCTTTGGATAATGCAAACGTAACAGTAGTGGATTCAGCTCGAGTCGATCGTGTCTATTGAACAGCGGATTATCTAAGATAGACTAGGAGCTCAAGTAATTAAACTGCTGAAATTATAAACTTCTACTTTGCATTAGCATTATGGAGAGAAAAATTGTGACATGATGGGATATCTGAGAACCTCGTTCAAAATTTTTTGTACTCTGGTTGATTGTTTTAGTTGAAAGTAAAAATTAATCTGCTTCATAAGATGTAGGTAAAAAAAAAATGCAGAATACTAGAATCAAATAAAATATTTGTGCTTAATTTCTTGAGCAAGTAGTATTGTCTGGATTTCGTCCGACATTTTATTCCGTGAAAAAAGAAAATTTCAATCCCATAAAAAAATTAATTTTCTAAAAAACTTTATCCAACCTGAAATTCTCTTAGGTAATAAAAAAAATATTATTTATGACACTGCAGAGCTATCTGTGGAAATCCTTTAATTCCATTTTCTAATCTGCCTTGAAATTGTACATCACAACCATTTCTTTGTTCTGACGAAAGATTAAATAATTTATCAAAAGATAACTGTCATCAGGGAAAATTCCAAAAGTTTACATTACGAGAATATTTCAGTAAAAATGACAAAGCATGTTGGACTTTGACGATTACTTTTAAAAGAAAGGAGAAAGATGGTAGTAAGTTGTAAGGCAATAGAAAAATAATGAAAAAAGTCATGGAATTTTTTGCTAAAGACAGACAATCTGCATTCTCGTAAAAGGTGAAAAGAAAAAAGGGAAAAAGATAGCCAAAGGTTTGCATATTCAAGAGGAGAATACGAGGTCCTCCAACGAATAAGCGCTGAAGCTCGAAGTTTATTGTACGCTCTTTGGCTTCAATTTGCCTTTGGCAGAACTCAATTTGAATAATCAAGAGAAAGATGGAACTTGCGAAAGGAGCTTGTGACAAGTACTTGAACATTCTTATCGATTTGATTATATTATAGACTATTTTCCAGCTTGTACATTAAAACAATTGATGTAATTTGAAAAGTCTTTCATTTAACCATATTCAATTATTTATTAATTAAATACTGAATTAATTTATCAAAGGATAAGTAATGAGCTGATAAACATAACTAAAAATTTCACAAAAAAAATCTAAATGTAAATTCAGAAAAAATGATTTAATTTTTATGACTCTTTGAAGGTATATTATGAAATAAAGCCGTAAACGTAATTCAGATATACAACATCAATATAAGTGTATTATCTTGAATTATTTTTATGCTTTTTCTTCACTTGTTTCAAGCGCTTTATCCTAATTGCACACGAAAGCGAGTATAATAGTGAAAATGAACTCTCTGTATCATTACCGTAATTAAGCTTAATGCTCGAAGGAATAAAAATTAATTTCTTGGGTAATATAAATAAATTTACCATTTTAAACTAAATAATTATTATAAATGATCTTTTTTAAATATATATTTTATTCAAGTTTTGATCGATAAAATATTTTTTCTCCATCTTGCTCATTTTTCACGAATAAAAAAACACGACTTTGGCATAGGAAAAATACATGTAGAAGCGTTGGGTAAATGCAAAAGGCTTCTATGTTGGGTTTTGAACACGACTAAGAACGAAAGAAGGCAAAACCACTCTTTTTCTCTCGCCTCTGTCGCTCACTCATTTTCTTAGCCACGTACACTCCGAATACATTATTCATGGCTTTGTCGAAAGTACTGGCTGCGATATTTTTACAATATTTTACTTTGAAAAATCTCAAACAAGGATTATGTTCTTCACTGAACTTTGGATCAAAGTGTAACCTTGCTAAATCAGAATATACCTCCTATACGCGTGATTGTCGTTTAAAATGCACATACAGATACGTAAGAGTATGTTTTAAACATCGCGTTATTCACGTAAATATTTCCCCTTGAAAAATTGATGCATATTGGCATTTCGTATTGATGTATATCATAAAAACATCTTCGATAAACTCAATCGTTTATCCTGTGTTTTTGTGACAATTTTTCATTTTTCGTTTCCATATTTATGTTCTTGTTTTGATGTATGTACAAATGCATAGACTTATGTACTCACATCTATCTTGTTTTTTTTGTACAGTTTGATTATGTTTAGAAGCTTTTTTCATCAACTCTATAGAGCCAGCTTTGTAATTCTATAGAATATAAAGTGGATACAGTGGAGGAAAAAAAAATTTAAGACTGAATGAAACAAAAGAAATGATAGAAAATAAATGTACGTTCTTGGTAAAATTTACAATTCTTGGTAAATCACTAAATCATTGAAAAGAAAATATTTTTCGGAATGAACCACATTATAAAAATAACCTTTATCACATGTTTCCTCGTGAAAATGAACCAAAAGAAATGAATACTCTCATATGATGATCATTTATAATAATAATAATATAGCTAACGAACGAATTAATTATTATTTTAATGTACTATGGTATTTTTTTGATATTTTATAGACAATACTATGAATTCAATAATGTTTTAATTAACATTTTAATTTCTACATATTATTTTGGAAAAAAATTTAAACAGAAATGAAATTGAATCATTTCCATACATGTCGCATTACTAATATTCATGAAATCGTATTCTGTGAAACAATCAGAGAAATGAATTTGGAATAATTTAATGAAAAATGAAATCATAAATCCTATACACTAATTGTTTTATAATAACACATTTTAATTGTTCTCATACAATAATTAAATTAAGAGGCTTTATAGATTAATATCAAACCAGTTCATATTCATGTTTACTATCAATAGAACTTGTGGGTTTTGGATTGAAATTTTGTCTAAAAAATTTAAATATTTCGTATAAAATTCACAATAAATTATTATATAATTATTATTACTATTATCACCTGTTATTTATAAGTCCGGAAGTTAATAATTATTACTCTCTATAAATTCATAAATTAATAACTCTTGATTTTGCTACGAAAATTTATGTATCTCAAGAGGAAAACGAACGCATAACTATAGAGAGCATAATTCATTGCATCACATAAAATGCAGCTATGTTTAATTATTCGTAATTCAAATAAATGAATCGTCCAATGAATTTGTTCACTTATTAAAAAAGATTATGTCAATTAATTTCAGTTGATTAACTAAAATTGAATTTCCAGTCAAATATATACATATATTTATAAATACTATTTTTATCTTTAAAAAAAATATTCATTCAATGTTTGTGAATTATTTTATCTCATAAAGTAATTATAAGAGGTTTTCAAATTCTTTGTAAAGATCAAAAAAAGATATTGAAGCAGTTTTTAATCTTACTTTAATGACATTGCTATCACTGAAAAAGTTGTAAAGATGGATAACGGAGATTAAGTTATTAAAAGAAATAAATGACAGAAATAATCATAAAACTCCTTCTTAATTTTTATATGATTCCATCTCATATGTAATCTTCCAATATATTACAGAAAAAAAAGAAAAATTGTTGCAATATCTCATTTAATACTCTTATTGTACCTGAAAAACTCTCAACATTTTCTAAGTAGTTGCTCTCAATGTCGATATATAAATCACTTTTATTCATGATTAAATAAATAACAATACTAAATATAATGTTACTAATTCTCTAAAACTTATCAAAAGTTATTTAAACTCAAGTAATCTGATAAAAAAAAAGCCAAAAAACAAAAATTTATCTTCAATAAAAGCATTTTATTTTTCCTTCCTGTAACATGTGTGTAACTTAATTGGAAACCACAAAGCAGAAATAAATGTTATGAATGTAAATTTAATATTATTGTTTATCTCTCTGACCTATGAATTCCTCGATTTAAATGGTTAAATGCAACATAAAGACAAACACAAATGAAAGTTGTGCAATGAACCTGTATCCCTGTTCGCTTACCTTTCTCAACAGTAATCTAGACCACTATCCTATCATCTTATTAAGTTGCCACCCCTAGGCACCAGCAAAATGCGGCACCAGCAGTGTTGGAACAGCCACTATAATTTCCACAGTTATATTCTAGTTTAAGGGACACTAAAACCCCAAAGCAAGTAGGTAAGTAAGAGGTCGCTCGTTCCACGTACACATTCGTTTAGATAAATGAATAACACCGGCATAAATGTTCAGACAGTACCAGAATGTAAAGCTATTTGGAAGTAAATAACTTACAATTTTCCTGATAACAATCGCCAAAAATATGCTTCCAGTTGGAATGAACTCACAATAATGGGTTATATTGATCATATAAACTGTATTTATAATTCAATTTTACCTGTAGAAATCCCATCACTTCCAGCTGGCTTATACGCGCAAAATATCACCACAATATCTGAAACAAAAAATTCATTGTTAATACCATTGTATTGAGAGTCGAAAAATATTCAAATATATTCCACACTAATTGTATTTTCATGCTTTGCTTTGAATGATTTAATTTCACCGGAAAAGAAACATATGATGGGTGATTCCTAAAAAGTTTATAACAATAATTCAATTAATATTCGCTACAATACATCAATAGTTTTAAATATTCTTTTTTAAATATACCAGTTGTCATTCGAGTTAAATATTCATTTGCAAATAAGCTGTTCACTAATTGAATTTTTTCGTTTTTCCACCAGTCATTCTAGACTCGAAATTAAATACTACCTCGGATTTAAGTTGTTGATGGATTAAGACTTTGCCATTTCAAGGAAGATGCGTCGACTTCCGAAGGTTTTCCAATTCGAAAATCTCGTTTAAATCCTAGAGTTCAAGGGTGCTCTCATTGTCAGTAGTTTTTTTTTTAAAGACATTTGGATAAGGATCAGTTCAATATTGAAACAATTTTATTAAATTGAAAAAAAAAAATGTAATGACTAAATGAGAGCTATAATTTGAGCAGTTCTTTCAGTGAAATTTTTAGAAAAATTAATAAAAAGTAGTAGATTATGTAGATAGCACAAATTTCCACAAATAAACTGAGCTCTCAAACAATGCGACATACAGATACTCATCGTGTACAATAGAATCTCAACTAATACTCTGACTACATGCTTTTGTTACGAAAATGTATTTTATATGACAAGATAAGGCACAGAGTACATCCTGGTGAAACCTGCAATTCTTCGATCATTACACCTCTATTGTGCCTTGAAAGTATTTTAAATGAATAGTTATAATATTTAAGTTTAATCTTGAAAAATATAACTGCATAATAAAGTCACTAAAATATCAAACCTGTTGAATTGATTAAAATAAAGATTGCTATCATAAATTGTTACTATTGTAGTGTGATAAGAAAGGATTGTCAGGATGATAGAATGAATGATTCTTTAGGAATCGAGCAAGAATTGGTGAAGGGAAAGCTTTCTTGGAGACCAAATATAAAAGGGTGCAAAAGATGAATCGTTGATAAGGATGCAGGAGACGAACAATATTTGAATGATCAAAATTATTTTCTTTTATGTATTAACTAGAATATATTAGGAGAAGCAGGGGTAAAGTGGAACACCACGAAAAAATTTAAATCAACAAATTAAGCATTATATTAACAAATGTTAATAATTTTTAATGCATAAATAAATTGAAAAATTAATGTACGAAAAATACAATAAGCGTTTTTAAACTTATTTTAATAAATTAGTACATTTTCTCAAGCGTTCCACTTTACCCACCTGTCCCCCTACTTCATTTTCCTAAACTTGTTCACTTTTCTTTAAACCAATCGATCTTATTTTTATTTATATTTTTGGTCATCCCACTCCACTGCTTTACATGAATTTTAAAATTAATTTTATCTTATAATCTATTGAAAATAAATAATACAAAGCAAAAGTATTGAAGAGATATGAAATGTCGGTATATATTTATTAAAGTTTCTTGCTGCTTCAATAGTTATTATTCTGAAAAGTTTTACATGCGAATAGGATCATAAATTTTTACGACATTCTGTGTCTAATGCTCTTATCTTGTTATCAAGTAATCCCATAAATTACTGTAGGCAAGTTACTATACTTGCCATATACACACGGTACACGATCGTTTTTTACGCAACCACCAGTGGATCCCAGTACGCTAACGAATTATTAACGACGCAACTTTATTGCCACAAACCACCAATGAATGTCATTTACACTCAACCCTATTTTATCCAACTCTCAACCAGAATCCCAGGACGTCTGACCGCACTACGTTTACTCTACTTATACACGCCCTTACCACTGACAATGAGGAATATCTTACTATACCATATTTCAAGCTTAACGAAACTCAAAAAGTCCCGCCTGTCGTTGAGACGTAATACAGAGATCGAGCGTAATGGAGTTGCGAAAGTAGGCGAAAGCACCGTCGGGAAAAGAAGATAAGTAATGTACACTCCATTCTTCTCGTACGATATTCAGTAAAGGGAAAAAAGTTTTAAAAAATTATTAATCACCTAAAATTTGAATAATATTGTTCACTACATTTTTTAAGATACCATGTTTTTTTTTTCTTTCAAAAGTTTCATCCACAAATAATCATTATCAAGTTATCATTTAAATTTAAATAAAATCTTCAAAACATTATTGTCTATATTTTTGCGGGAAATCATATATATTCTTCTAAACGAGTTTTAATAACGAAGCTCATAAGAAACTTTTTAAGACATGTTTTTATAGATCGTAAAAAGAAATTAGATCATAAAGCCTTATTCATTTCATGTTTTATTGAACGTATTCTATAAATTTAATGTTTAATGATGAAGTTATAAAATAATACATCGAATGATAATGCAATAAAGAATTTTGTAACAGAATTAACGAAAATCAACTGGCAAAAATGAAAAATAAATTTGTATTTATATTTTTCATTAGTTATATCAAATCATAAATTCTCGAGACTAAATGAAATATTGAACGGCAAGAAGGTGAAGAAAATATAAAAAAATTTTTTATTTTATTGGGATGCAAGCCAAACGAAATATGTTGGCAAAACAACATTTTCAACACCCCGCGCAAACAACGTACGCGATTGCTACAGAGGAGTATACAACTGTATAGATAGGAATATAAGAGAAAATTCTCTATAACAGAGTCCATTCGTTGATCAATTTTTTTGTTTCCAATTTTTTTTTTCCAACAGTACTAGTATATATGTAACTATCAATCATTTCCTGTCAGTGGTTTATTCTACGATTTTTTTTTTATTTGCACTGTTTGGTTTTCGTTAAAGTTCGCAACGCCTACAACACAGATTTCTCTTTGAAAAATTGAAATGATCGTTAACGAGAGGGAAAATTTCAATGAAAGTTATTTTATGATAAACCGAAAAGTGAGAAAATACGAAAATTCTATGTCAATCTATTTATATACCAAGTGATTGACAGTCATTATGATTAAATTTTTTGATAAGTGTTATTTATATTCATAATAAATCAAACACTTGATAACAACAATACAATTAATTACTCTCTAAAAATATGACTCCTATTAATATCAATATTTTTGAACAATAAAAAAAAAAATAATTCTTTAAATTTATTTTACTTTAAAAATTTAATGATTATATTTTTCCAACAGTTTGATAATTTGATGTACAAATTGAAATACTTAAATTTTTTTATTAAACGACCTTCTTAAGGAATTGAAATAAATAAAAAAGAGAGTTTTAAAAGTTGACTAAATACTGAAATGACGTAAAAGTTAGTTATTAATGACGCTTAAATAACGTAGTAAGTTGTCAATGAGAATTTTGCGTCTTCTATTCCTCATAGGGATGTACTCAATCATTACTTAAATTACTCGAGGGAAATTTATGAAAGGGATATAGACGTGATGTTCGTTGAGTTCGAAATTATCCGCATGAATTATCATTTATCGGTTCTCGGTGGACCGAAATTTGGAGCTAACAACAAGATGAAATCAAAGTTATTAAAATCATAATTAACTATTAGATTAAAGCAAGTCGCATTAATAAATCCTACTAAGTAGAAAATTTATAATCAAAGTCGGACGATAAATTTAAATTAAAGTCACTAAGTAGTGTTCTTTACTCACATGCATAGTTTTCAAGTATAATTGAGAATGAAATAGCAATTCTCTCACCATAATAGTAATTAATGCAATATATCTGAATAATACTTTGAATCATCTACTAACGACTTCACTGAAAACTCAAGGGACGGAACCTGCTGCGTTACAGAAACACATGTGATAATTGAACCTGCATGTGTTTCTACTGAGAACATTTATGTGGCTGAATACTCGTATGCCACCCAACTTCAACTATCTTCTACCTCATGTATCCAACATTTTCCTAACCCAGCCGTACTGGCAACCATCAGCCATGATGGATTTTGTGATTACACCCGGAGGCATCGTATAACTACAACAAGTGACTTTGGACAGGCAAGGTTCACGTTTCTGCTACATCGTGAACCTAAAGTGCTCCCAGTATAGGTTCCACTGGGAGAGCAATATCTAACAGATATCTAACAGGCCGTTCAAGAATCCCTCTTACACGAAACATTTTAATATCGCTTTTACTACGCCGGTATATCCAGCAATTTCGTTCAATTTCAAGAAAACCAGCCATGTGTAAACTTGCGAAAATTTATCCTACGTTATTGGACCAATAAAAATCAAATATATTTGCTATTATATTTCTGGTGAAATCAAGTTATATGACAATTTCATTGAAATTTTTAAAAATAATTAAAAAAAAAAAAAAGACAATTCATTTTTCTCCCGTTATTTAATAAAAATTTAAGCCAAAAAAGGCAAATATTTATATTAAAAATATTTCCAGAGACAATATTGTCTCGAATTAGTCGAAATATTTTATTCATATTAATCAAATAGGAGGAGAAATATTATTTACAAATAGCTGCTAATAAAAATTCAACGTGACACATTTCGAAGTTATTTTTTTTAAAAAAAATAGTCGTAGTCATGAAGATTCACAAATAAGAATAACAATATATGTATGTGTGTACATAGATCTAGTCTACATAGTCGATTGCGATTGCCCTAGAGGCGAATAAGAATTGCTGGAAACACTGGAAAGTTACGAGATATATCGTTATGCCAACTAGGTAGTCTGAGTTAACTTTTAGATACTTTTGTTTTCGAGCTTTAAGAAAAAATATAAAATGCCATGGCAAAAATCTAGATGACCTAAGGGAACTTTGGCACAAATTGGATAAACTTTTACACTGTAGTTATAATTACAATTCAAAGCAAACAGAGCCAGAGTTTCATGAAATGAATATAAAAATAAACTTAAAATCACACATTCCATTACAAGCAGTTTAAAAAACAAACGATAAAAAAATTTTTTTTTTCTTCTGAATAGATATTAATTCCAAAG